TATATATATATATATATATTGTTTTGAGAAAGCCCAAGAGCTAATATATTAAAAAGAAAGAAGGATACAAATGTATTGTGTAAGAGGGCCCAATCATGACACCCTATCCACACGATGAACACCACATGCAAATGATTTCAAAAAAAGAAAATATAGAAAAATACATGAGAGCCCAAAAAAATCAAAAGTGTCAAAACACGCAGTATCAAGTAGCTATAGAATGACCCAATTTTGCTTTGTCTCTGCCTCTAGTTCTATGAAAGGAGTTAGCTAATAAATTGGTAAGATGAGTGTTATTGTCAGTAGTAACCAATATATCATCCAATAAGTTTCTGAGCTCGAGTCGGCCTCCATTCTTCTTCTTCCTCTTGGAATAGACCTGTCATTCCTCATCCGAAGGCTGACTGACCTGATCAGTGGATTGGTCTAAAGTGTGTTAGACATGTGTAGGTTACTGAATATTAGAAGTAACTACTTGTTGCACCAGCTGGTCTTTTATTGGATCAAAGGAGTACTCTTGTGTGTCTTGACATGTAAGCGAGTCTTCTTCAATAACAGTGAGTGGTATAGACACATTTGGATATGTACTTGTAGTATGGGGGGGATGCTTCATGGGACTCCAAAGTACCATGCTCCAAACCAGCAACTGGAATAGAGTGTTCAAAATCAGGAGCATCCAGGGTTAGAACGACTTGAGTATGGTGTTCTTCATCAAGAACTGCAGTGTTGGAAAGAGGGTCGGGTTGCACCTTCTCAACAGGGATGGTAGGTGGCAAGACGTCTACCCCCAATCCAGTATGAAAAGATTTTTGAATAGTTTGCTGATCTTTAGCAATATCTGGTCTTAGATGAAGATGCAAGCGATAACAAATAGTAGAACTGTGGCCAAACTTACTACAATGAAAGCAATAAGGAGGGTGTGGTTCTATTTTAACATTTTGCCAATACTCGTTGTGAGTGGTTCCAATCCATACCTCATCCGGAGTTGGTTGAGTGATATCTCTCTCAACTAACACACAAGCCACGGAGGGTCTGGTGACAACAAGCGTAGGACTATCAACCTTGAGAGGCTTGCCGTCAGCAGTTGCTAAGAAGTAGAGAATTTTCAAGTTGAACAAACGTAGTTTTAACCCCATAAACTTTAGCCAAACAGGAATGCTAGGGGACTCCGTTTTTAGATCAAAATCGGCAGTCCATTACAGGATTTTCATAAAACGGTTGTCGATTTTGATTACTTTACGAGAAAAAATATGAGTGTAATCCGCAGCATGAGATAACTGAATAAGTATATGTCGGCCGTCAAGTAAGCCAATATTCCAACTACCTAATAGCTTCATAACATCAAAATCTTTCTGAATGATCTCATGTTTTGAGCGACTATATAAGAATTTTCCCACTAGAGCAAAACATCAAGAAGATGCAAGAGTTCTGGTTTCAACCTCAGTGAGAAAAAGAGCAGATTTTTTATTTTTTTTACCAAGATTTTTAATGAAAGTGTGATTACCACTACATTCAAGAGCCTCGTGGAAGGATTGTGGAACATTTCAGGACTTACCGATACCAAAACCAGGCTCTGAACCTGAAAGAGGAGCACGAGTAGGAATAGGAAAGTCGCCGGCAAGGGCAGTGACAGAGGAATGGAGCGTCAAGGCCATCTCCACAGGCAAGATGATTCTGGTCAGATTCGAGCAGCTATGCGAACCGCTAGAAAGATGCGAGCAGACTTCAGGCCCGTCAATAGCGAGATGAAACTGTTTGTCGAGACGACAACCGCGTCGTCAGGTTAGGAGACGAAACAAGCAGTCAGACGCCGTCGTCTACTGGTAAGGATTTGAGAGTGAGCGTCGTCGACTACGGGAGAGACGACTGCGAGCCAGCGTCGTCGGCTGAGAGCTACGAGCGTACGTGAAAACGTCGTCGTGGGAGACGACAAAGAGAAGGAGAGAAGCCGATAGATTCATCGCTGGGAATCATCATCTGGCGAAAACCTAACAGAGTCCTCTGCCGCTGCCGATTCCATATATATATATATTCTCTATAAAAGATTAACTATGAAAGCTCATATTATATCTATCTTTTATTTGTATACCGATTAGGGAATCACTTTGCATGTAGCTGCCATTAAATGAAATAAGGGGCAATAAGACTCCTCATAATTACCAAAAATTGATTTAATAGATTTTTTATGCGCATCCCATGTTTTGATGTATGTAACACAAACATTAAATTTTGACTCCATTCGAGCAATAATTTTTTTAGGTTTAAGATCAAGTTGTCGTAGAATAACACCTACATAGTGGCATGAACTTTGAAGTGCATATCGGTGGCCCGGTTTACATAACTAGACGAGTATATGCATATGATGCCTCAGTTACAGATATTTTCCATGCACCCCCTAATCGCTAGCCCTTGGATTACATGACATGGACGACTCTCATTATTATATTGGACACACTGAACTGTAAGTCACTTTTATTTGATGTACTCTACGCTATTCATTATTGTCTATCCATTCAAAGTACATTGTTAGTTCATTTTTATTTGAAAATATCATTCCCTCTAATAATACATTCATAATTATATCATCTTAATATATTGGTATTTGATTTATAGGTGCATTATAATCGTCAACTACATCTCACTCTTCAGTCGTACGAATTGATTGTTCTCTACTATTGATTCTATTATCTCAGTATTTTGCTCCGCATAGTGATATACTAAATTAGGTCCTAACAATAAAGTATTTGTGTCAACATCTCGCCTACTTTATTTCTTGTTTGCCTGTGGTTCACTCGAGTTTTCACGATTTCCACCATCCATGGTTTCATATTCAATTATTTTAACATTCAAGTGCGCACTTTTGATGCTTGTTGCATATTAGCCTCAACATTGCTTCTGATGTATGGGTAAAATGAGTGTGGGAGATCAAATGATCGACGCGCGCTACTGGTTTATCAGATATATTATATAAGTGTCATAAGGTGTTAAATGAAATTGGAGTTGGCCTACAAACTAAAAGTCATAATATTTATGTTCCTTTTAAATATAAATATCTAATAGTTTTGTAAACAAAATATTTATAATTTTTGTACCTATGAATTTCTATCACATTTTCAATAGGTCTGACAGAAGTGTGTTTAGGATCAACAATGTCAGATGCTTTAGTAGGTAAGGCCTCAACCCCAACCTAAATAACTATTAGGTGTTTTGTCGCTTATAATAACATAAATTCACTTACTTTATCACCATCAACATGAGTTGTTGTAAAACTTCTACTCATCAGAGATGACAAATTATACTTATGGTATATCTTGAGCTATCATGACGTAATAGACATACTATTTTTCTTTTTAATTTATTTAAATAAACTAATATATTTAAACCAGTGTTTAAGTTCACTGACATAAGTTGGAGTAAAATCATTTGTGACTCGTAACTCTCCATCAAAACATAGTAATAAACATGCCATATTTATACTCGTTATAAAATGAAGTCTAGTCCCATATTTGATTTTATTTTTACTTATGAACTAAAATTTAGTAAAGAAATATGCAAGTTTGAGCACAACTAACATGATATATGCAATAAAATAAAGTGAATTAGAATTTAGAACTTTCAGATAAGAACTGGTTAAAAAGGCCTCTTGCATTCTAAGCTCTTCTTAGACAGTTTAGGCTTGTTTGACAAAATTCTTTATAGCTTCAAATGCATTATATTTCATCCACATATATAGAAGACTATTCTAATTTGTGTTATCATATTTATAAATTAGAGGTACATAAATAATTAATATATCAAATTCATTAGAGAATAATAAATGAATTTATATTAGCGTATGGTAACATGTCAGAAATATAAATCATTAACCATCTTGCTATATGCAATAAAATAAGTGAATTCGTAGCTACAATAACTTTCAGGTGAAGAGGGAGAGCAAAGACCTCTGACATTCCAAGTACTTCTTTGACAGTTTAGGTCTTTTTGACAAAGTTATTTATAGCTTCAAATGCACTATATTTCATACGCATATATACATGATTATTTTAATTTATATTCTCATATTTATAAATAAGATGTACCTAAATAATTAAGATTTCAAATTTATGTAATACATGAATTTATATTAATGTGTGGTAGCATGTCTGAAATATAAATCATTAACTGCCCTGATATATGCAATAAAATAAAGTGAATTTATAGCTACAAGAACTTGATGATGAGAGGGATTTATAAACCTCTTACATCCCAAGCTCTCATAAAACAATTTAGACCTTCTTAATGAAGTTCTTTATAACTTCTAATGCACTATTTTTCATAGAAATATATGAAAGATTTTTCTATTTATATAATCATATTTATAAATAAGATACGACAAATTAATTCATATATCAAGTTCATTATAGTATAATAAATATCTTTGTAGTAAACAAATTTTAAATAAAATTAAAGTATAACCATGTCTTGTTGATCGAAAATGTAAGATAAAGATCATGAAGACACGGAAAAAAAGATGGCAGTGATCGAAAAACAGTTATGCAGAATATTAAACAGATATTTGCCAGAATTTTGGTGGTACATAGAGAAAGTAAAGGGGAGGAGATATTCCGAAAGCGAAATAATAGATTTCCAGTGGAGAAAATATGAGAGAGAATGAGAAAAAATTAAGAACAATTTTATTAAGACTTATTTAATAAACCTTAGATAAGTAACTATAACCATTTACACTAAAATATGAAAAATTTTATAAGATTTGTATACCAGATAGTCGATGTTCCATTTCAATATTCTTCAAACTATTAATCCTGTCCCGTCGGATTTTTAGACTATATAGTTCGGATCATTAGCTTTCTCCTATCAAATTTCTAGACTATATACAAATCAATGTTATATTTAAACTATTAAAATTGTTTCTTTAAATTATTATTATTATTAAATAAAATTTAATATATAAAATATAAATTAATGGCTGTTTTTATTTAACATAATTATAATTATTTAAAATTTTTGAAATAATAATTTATATGTACACAGTGAGATAATACAATTAAGAAGTCTAATCTTGATTAAAAATGACCGCAAAAAATTACAAATGAAATTATATTGGAAAAGTAATTTTAAAGAAAAAATCGAGATTAATTAAGAAGAACATACTTCAATTAATTTAAACCCTAGAAGTAGTGGAAGGAAGGAAAGAGAGTAGGGAAGAACTAGTGGAAGATAAGGAGAGGAGGATGCGTGGGTAGAAAAGGAGAGTAAGAGGAGGATGCGTGGAATTGTGGAGGCGGTAGGAGATTTAAATTGGAAGGATGAGAAGGGGAAATTGCTTGGAACCCAAGCATTTTATGCAAGGGACAAGCCAATTGAAAAAAAAAAAAAAAAAAACGTGAGCCATGAGAATGGGGGTGTTATTGCTCGTGTTTTAATTTTTTTCTCGTGATTGTTCAAAGTAAATAAATAGTATATGTGCTTCTTCTTATAATTTGCCACAAAAAAAATATTATACAAACATCCACATATAAAAAACAAGCTAACATCAAAATTCCGAAATGTCTCAGAAGTGCGAAGATTTATGTCCATGAGCTGTAAATAATAAGAAAATTGTTAAATTTTTCATGGATTTAACTTATATCAGGCTTTAAAAATGCACTAAGACATACCGATAAAGAGTCAAGAGCTCGGGCTTTGTCAAGGAATCGACAACACAGAGGCACTAATGAGTATTGTTGCGACTCCGATGATAGGATCCTAGCAAGTATATGAGGTGATGAGGGGGTTGTTTGGTATGACTCATATGCCAGATAAGGGACAGATGCTGGAGCGGAATGGAGCGAGCCAGCGAAGCGAGCCAATGAAGAGAGCGAGCGTATCGCGGAGCTCGCGAGTGGAGTGGAGCGGAAGCATCTGTCCAATCAGGGGAGTTTTGTGATGTGAGTTGAGGGTGTGGGACAACGCCCCCGCGGTACGTTTTGTAATTACACTTTGTACTCTAGGGTTATATATATGTCTTGTAGTCTTTTTCTAAATTGAAGGAAAAGTTATCGCTCTGCTTCCGAGGACGTAAGCATCTTTGCCGAACCTCGTTAAATTCCTGTGTTTTCTTTCTGGATTTGGATTTGTGTAGATTCTTGCATTTCTTTGCCCTAAAATTCTCAACAGGGGTGAAGTCGATGAAGATGATTAATCACGCAAGCGGGTCAAGTGGAAGAAGGAACGATCAAGTCGGTGAGGAAGCATGCAAGAGATGTCTGTAAGCCATGCAATGACAAAGCAAGGGAATTGTTTGAGTTGACTTTTAATTATTAATATTATTATTATTTTGGTTTCTATTTAAGAAAATTTACATATGTAGCACACAAATCTTATGTATTTACATATCTCACGTCTAAACTTTCATACTTACACACACAGTACTTCAATGCGAGCAGGATGAAGATCGACTCAGAGAAGCTCTAAGATATGCCAATGCATGTGGAGCTCTTACAGTCACAGAAAGGGGAGCCATTCCCGCTCTCCCAACCAGAGAAGCTGTACTGAATGCTCTCGTCAATGTCATTGCTTAAGCTCTTAAGCTGCTACATGATCTGCTCTGGAGGCCCATATCTCTCTCTCAGAAATCCATCTGAATTTCCAGATTTTGTTACAGATCCAATGTGGGATGCATGTGTTTTAACTGAAAATCTGGTGCTTAATTTGTATTATTAATTTTTTCTTTTTTTTTTAAAAGCTTTTTATGGCAACACATCATACAAACACTGCATTTTGATAAGGTGAAGATATTCCACCAAAATCATCTTGTTGATTGACCGTCTCTGCTGGGTTAATTTCTTCCTAGAAAGGCTGTGAATTTCATTGGAACTTTCATACATCTCACACAGTTCTTATGTATTTACATATCTCTAATCTGAACTATCATATTTGCACACATGACACTCAAATCTTTAATATCACACAAAAATAGCATTCTTATTACTTTTTTAATGTTAAGTATAACTTTTCATGTGTAGGTTTAAGATAACCAAACCAAGTGTTGTATGTATATAGGGCTGTCAATTTGGCTCGTTGTTCGTGAACAACTCGTGTTTGGCTCGTTCGTTAAGCCTAACGAGCTGAACATGAATAAATTTTTAAGCTCGAAATGTAAACGAGCCGAACACGAACAACAGTTTGTTCGCTCGTGTTAGGCTCGAAATGACTCGAAAAATAAAATTATATAACTTTTTATATAACAATATATTACATATATTATTTATATAATAATATATTATATATATTTATGTCTAAGTTTAAATGATAACACCTCATGTTGCAATGTGGTTAGTGTCTTTTTTGTATAGATTTGAATTTAGGTTCAAATCCCAATTTGAATCCCACACTTTATATCTATTTTTTTCTCAATTTTAGTTTAACGAGTTAATTTCGAGCCGAACACGAGCCGAACACGAACACAAATATTTAAATCGAGTCGAACACGAACACACTGTTCACGAGCCGATCTCGAACACGAGCTATTTCGAACGAGCAGAACACGAGCCCAGCATGAGCTCGCTCAAGCTCTCTCAAGCTCGGCTCGTTTACAACCCTATATGTGTAAATATGAAAGCAAAGGTGTGAGATATGTAAATACATAAGAAGTGTATGCTGTCTATGTAAATCTCCCCTTAAAAATTTATAGTATTAAACACCTTGGAATCAAATATTACATTTGTTTGTGATGTTTTGAAGTATTGGTTGGTTAAATTTTTATAAAAATTGGAATTTTAGGACTAATATTTATACATATGACATGCTCATTTTTTTAATTTAAAATTTGAAGTTTCAATGGACATGAAATCAAATGCATGATTTCGAAGGATTGTTTTGATCGTGTTGATCGATGAATTGCTCGAGTAGACCTTAGTTTTTAAAAAACCTTAAATACAATATAAGATCGCTGCAAAATCAAAGAAATTTAATTTTCAAATTACTATTTAATTTTAATATCAATAAATTTTGAATTTGATGATTATATAGAACAGTAGATGTAAAAAAATGGACCCAACACTTAAATTTATTGTTTACATTTATACCACCTAAAATTTTTGTATCAAACAAAAATACTACTATTTTAACTCTTAAAATAAAAAAAAAAAAAAACATATTTGCAGGCATAAATAAGGTGGTATATATGTAAAAATTGATGTTTAGCCGTTATGCAAATACATAAAAATTGAGCGGTATCTTCGTAAATCTTCTAAAAAAGAAATGATATTGAAGTGTGCTACACATGCTGCCATTAATTTGGATTCTGTCCTAAGTCCTCTCTAAGCCATAATTTAGTCAACACAATGTTACAAAAAACAAGCTAAATATTGAATATTTAATACTTTGTTTTGAACCTTCACTAGAACTATGAAAATCCAACATATAGTTATAGTCTATTATGGGAAACGACCTAATTGATTAGGCACAATCTTATCCCCTAGTTTAAAGCCTGGCTTGAGCCAAACATGAACAACTTATAATACAAACGAGCTAAGTAAAATTCATAACATACTTTGCTCGATTATAGCCTCAAAGGCCGGCCAATACTCGTCAATTATACGTAATCAAATACAATTAGCTCGCCTGGCTTGTTTAAAGTTTTTAATAGTTGTACTTGTCTTGGACCTGATTTGTTTATTTCAACGACTTGAAAGAAAACTACAAATTCAAATAACTTTATTTTTTATATAAAATTATTGCCAAATAATTTTATAAATCTAAACAAATAAACAATGAAATAAATCTTTTTTTTAATATCTAACTATTTTATACAAATTAAATTAGATAATATATAATTTGTTAGTAAATTTTTTTTTGTAATAAAGTAATTTAAATAAGTGCTAATAAATTATTTTATTGGAATAAAAAGATAAGAAAAATAATTGCATTTAATTTATAAGCACGTAGATATTAAATTATTTATAATATGTTACCACTAAATATATAATTAAATGAATTTTAGTTTAACTAAATTTTTTTAAATAAAATATTATATATATTATATGTGCTATTATCGAACTTACTGTAAAATATTTAACAAGTTACTTGTTGAAAATTTAAAATAAATTATTTGGACCGTATTTATTTATTTATTAATCTAAACAAACTTGATCGAATATTAATACAACCATATTCGAATTATTCATCAAGTGCATTGGTTCGTTTACAGCCCTACCAACCTCCAGAAAATCAAAATTATTCAATATTAGATGTATCATACATATAAGAATATTTTTATATAAATAATAAGCTTGATTAATGATTAAAAGTATTTTATAATATTTAATTAGCAAGTTTTACATGTATTAAAATAGGATTAAACAAAAATAAAATATGTGATTTAGATCATATCATCTCAAAATCTCTAAACAATGTGATTTTAATTAACTTAATGCACTCATTCCAATACATAATTTATTTTCAAAAATGAAACATTTAATGCATTGCTAGATTCCTTTATAGCTTGTTTGATTAATGAAATGGTGTAAGAAAAACTTTGGGGAAGAAGACCAACAGACTTGATTAATCACCTTGCCTTCAACCATGCAATTCATCTATCTTAAACAAATGGGGAATTTACATACATACCACCCAATTCTTTCTTTAATTTACATATCTACCACATAAATTTCAGTTTTTTTTTTTTTTACATTTATATCACTTAAAGCTTTCATATCACATTAAGAATATCACTGTTTTAATTTAAAAAACGTGAAATATTCATTTTCATGCATAAATAAGATGACATATATGTACAAATTAAAATTCAGTTGTTAGATGTGTAAATTCATAGGAAAAAAATCATCAGAACTAATATATTTGCGCACATTTTTAGTATAAAGTCACCACAATTAATATAAAAGAAAAGAAAATCATAGCAAATTTGGTAGAAATAGCAATTCTCAATAGAAAAATGAACAAACATATACATTATAATGATCACATTTTCATATTACTTATATGTCCATATATGATATATATTAAAATTTTAGAGGAACATATCATTAATTGAAACACCATACTACTTAACAAATTAAACAAAAAGATAGACATTCCCCATAAATTGATCACAAAATCAATTGAACTCATTAAAATGTTGCAAGGTCCTAATCAATCTATAAGACCAAATGCTACAAAACCAAACCCCTAAATGCCAACCAAAGTTTACTAAAGAGAAGAATAATTGAGAAATGCCTATCTGTTATGAAGTGGATTGGCCCCCGTTGGCACCTTCCTCATTTCATCTCCATCCTCATCTTCAAACTCCTTACCATTGCCGCCATAACCGGACATAGCTGTGTTTAAGCTGTTGAAGTTCACTGTGGTGGCCATCGGTTCTGAACTCCGAGATGCCACGACAAACACTGATATGCCGAATCTCCTATTACGGCTCCCCTCTATAGCCATGGAAACCAAGCATAACACCACCATTATTTTCCTCATAGGCAAAAGCATGCTTATCAATTGCCACTTGAAGGAAAGGCAAATTAGAAGAATAGAAATAGCGAGGAGAGAATGAGACAAGAGGTAAGTTTGTATCAATTTGATGGCACGTCACATTTGATGATACATTTTTTAATCAATCATTTATTTAATATTAACTCTAGTACTTATTATCTTTAAATGTAATCAAAAGAATCTTGAGGATGACGTTCATGTCTTCGAGTCAACATTCACGCTTCCCCCTAGAGCGGAACACCTCACATGCAGAACCTTAATCGTGTCCCATAGCTTCATTATATTACTTAGCCCAGTGCAATACAATGGAATTGACCAGTGTTAAAATTTACGGGACTCACTTGACACGTGACGCTCCGCTATCGGACGAGTTAAGGCTACGCTACAGGCTACAGCCTCGTGAGCCTCAGAGTTTAGAATATTGGAAGCTTCTGCTTCAGCCTTCTCGAGGCAATGATGGAGTTAAGAAGCTGCTTTTCCCAGCTTTATTTTAAGCGTTTGATTGGAGCTATCGGATTAGCAAAATCAGAAGTTATAATAAAAAAATGGTGAAATAAATTCTAAGGAATTGTTCGTTTGCTTCTCTTCCTCCGTCAAACAGGCGTTGCCATGCAGAGTGCTTCGCGCCGCGGTCAGTGGATATGACACGCTTATTTTTGTCCTTTTTTGCGAATTAATATATAATATATTAAAGAGAATGACAATTAAATTTGGGTCTATCATTGTAAGAGATTTATATACAACATGACTTTATGAAATGTATTCCATTTAATTGAAATATTTACTCTTGTAATTATTTAATGATTATATTAAGCATAATTAGTTGATCATCAAAGAGGTTGAATTAGAAGTTTTTCATAAATGTCAAGTTGAATATTATTCAATTTTTCATGAAATGTTTCATTCTATTAAAGAGACTATGACAAAATTATATAACTTTTACTATGAATAATTAGAAAATATTTATTGTTTCCCAGAGGGTTGCTTAGTTTATTTTATAATTAATATGTAGAAGAAAAAAAATTCATCATTTGACACAAATTTTGAGGTAATTTTTGAGCAAAAGGCTTGAGGTTCAAATTAAATAATCATCTAAAGCTTTGATTTTAGCAAACTTATGGTCAAACTGACTGTCTCAACTAGACAAACTCAATGATACCAAAATTGGTTCAATTCAAATCCAATCAAGCCTAAATTATGCCATTGAAACACATTTTGAAGCTTCAAATATTTGAT